GTCTCAAAAAAAAAAAAAAAAAAAAAAGATTTTAAGGAACTAGTCAAACAGAACAGACAGCCTGGCACCCTTGTGGTTAAGCTTTGAGCAAAGTGTTCTTGATTTAGATCAAAATGTGTACATGTTCAGCAGCATATGTACTGAGCAAGAATTTTTATGGCAGTTTCCATTGCTTCACCCCGCTTTTCGTTCAGTTTGCTATTTTAAACTTTTATCTGATGAGTTAGGGTATGTAAGTCACTTAATAAACATGGGAAGTCGCTGAGTGCCTGATCGAGTCTCAGTCTCCCTTTCATGCTATTCATTTCGTCTGCAGTGCTTCTCTGTGTCACCCATCAGTTAGCTCCTGGGAACAGTAACACAGAAGCACTTATTGGTGGCGTTAGTCCCAGACCCCTATCTCATATGTATGTTAGACAACATTTATATTAGGCCACAGCACAGAATTTACAAGAGTACATCGACTTTGGAGTAGTAGAAAAAGTAAAGATTAACTACAGGTAACTGGGCAAATAAAACATTGTGGCTTGCTCATTAGCTACCCTTATATTAGGAATAACTTCTTTAAAACATATTCTAGAAATCATTAACAGTGGGAAAGATAATTTATTTAGCTTTGTGAGGCTTTAGTTTCACAATATACGTACCTTTCGCCCAGGCAGGCTCTTGAAGGCTCTTAAGTTTCAGAAGTTGCTTTAATTAATAAAGTAAATAGTTTGATTTTGAGGCTTTCAGATATTTAGTTTGGGAAAGTTAATTGTCATAAGGATTTCCATACATGATCACAGTCAAAACAGTAAAATAAACCAAATAGTAAGACTTTTAACACCCCAAAAACACAGCAAATTGCTATTTCTAGCAAAAGATTTATTCCTGTTATAGTCATTTTTCCAAATGAAAATGTCCTTCAGAAATCCTATGCTACACTCATTTTGATTGCTTATTTTCCACTTTCTATTCTTTGACTAAGTTTTAAATATAGGTTGTGAATAATCTTTTGTGTTAATTTCCTCAGTCTGAGCTTTTTTTTTTTTTTTTTTTTTTTTTGAGACAGATCTCACACTATGGGCTTGAGCAGTCCTCTTACCTCAGCCTCCCAAATAGCTGGGACTACAAGGATGTGCCAGTATGCCCACCTAGTTTTTTTTTCTTTAGACAGATTCTCACTTTCTCACCCTGGATAAGAGTGCCATGGCATCATAGTTCACAGCAATCTCAAACTCCTAGGCTGAAGTGATCTTGCCCTAGCCTCCCAAGTAGCTGGAATTACAGGTGCCCATCACAACGCCAGGCTGTTTTTTTAGAGACGAGTTCTTGCTGTTGCTCAGGCTGGTTTCCAATTTGGGAGGTCAATCCATCTGCTTCAGCCTCCCAAGTGCTAGGATTATAGGCATGAGCCACCGCACCCAGCTAGTTTTTCTACTTTTAGTAGAGACAGAATCTCACACTGGCTCAGACTGATCTTGAACTCTTGAGCTCAAGCAATCTGCTTACCTTGGCCTCAGAGTGCTAGGATTATAGGCATAAATCACAGCACCTGGCTGGATTTTTATTTTTTTTAATTTTCATTCCCTTTTGGTGTCAAAATTAGCTTTTGAGACAAGTTCTCGCTGTTGCTTATGGTAGAGTGTAGGGACTTGATCAGAGCTTACTATAACCTTAAACCCTCATATTCAAGTGATCCCCCTTTCCTTAGCCTACCAGATAGCAGGGACTACAGACATACCACACCAGCCATCTTATTTTCTTTTTATTTTATTTAGTTACTTATTTTGCAGTTTTTGACCAGGGCTGGGTTGTCAAAAACCACCCAGGAGCTACTCCTTGAGCCACAGGCGCTGCCCCTTTATTTTTTTTTGAGACTGAGCCTCAGGCTATCACCCTGGGTAAAGTGCTATGGCATCATAGCTCACAGCAACCTCCAACTTGGGCTCAAGAGATCCTCTTGCCTCGGTTTTTCTATTTTTAGTAGAGACGGTCTTGCTTTTGCTCAGGCTGGTCTCGAAGTTATGAGCTCAAGCAATCCACCTGCCTTAGCCTCCCAGAGTGCTAGGATTACAGGCATGAGCCACCCTGCCTGCCCTTTCTTTGTATTTTATAGAGACAACATCTTGATCTGTTTAGGCTAATCTCAAACACTGGGCCTCAAATAATCCACCTGCCTCAGCCTCCCAAAGTGCTAGGATTACAGGTGTCTGCCACGGGGCCTGGCCTCCTCAGTCTTAATATCTTAGTGATTTGTTTTACCTTAGTTATATTTTCATCATTTACAGTAGGATACAACACTTATTAAGCCATACTCCAGTACCCTTATGAAGAAATATTAGAGAATTAAGAACAAGTAACAGGCTCGGCGCCTGTGGCTCAAGCGCCTAAGGC